ACAACAACAACAACAACATTTACTACTGGGGGACACTCCGTTCTCACCAGTGCCAGGGTTTTCATAGGAGGCGGGCAATACCCCCACTTTGTGGGGGGGCCGGTTCAAGCTCTACCAAATTTCCAAACGACTCTTCGCCACCACCCACACCCAGCTTCCCGCCCTATGACGTTCGGACACTTCACTTCGTGGCATGCGGACGACCGTGGCTACTATTCAGGGCCCCGCGGCCGACGACGACGGCGTGCGCGCGCGAAGAAAAAACGAATGTGTCCCGCATGGTATTATTTGACAGGGATGATGGCCCTGGCAGGTGCGCAACCGTTGTCGCAGAAGTTCGAAAAAGTTGCTCGCAAAAGCCCGTTTGACAGAAATGTTTAAAAAGTGTTGGGTTTCCTACGAATCCGCAAGAGCGCGCGGGATGAGATTTTGACAATTTTTTTTGAAAAACCATTGGTTTTTTGATGTTTTTATGTTAAAATCGCTGCGAACACTAAGGTTTTGGAAGGATTTCGTCTTGCGCGCGCGAATGTCCACTTTACCTTATTTTTTGCAAGGGATTCTTGAAATTTGATTATATTAGAACAAGAAATGTCATTTTCTATTGTTTTTTGCAAGGGAAAGCGGATTACAACAAAACAACCGGATCCTGTACACACCCTCTTTTCTGAGGCTTCCTCACGAAAATGATGAAAATGTAGCTGCGGCCTAGGCGGCGCAGGGGGGGCGCGCACCAGGGGGCCCAACAATAATTATTCTTTAGAATAAATAATGTTCAACAACAACAACAACAGCAGCAACAGCAGCAACAAGCAACAGCAACAGCAACAGCAACAACAAAAGCAACAACAAAAACAACAACAAAAACAACAATACATAACAATTGCCTGGCGAAGGACCCAACCGTATGCAGTTGTGAGCACCGTCGCTGTATGCAGCGCATTCGGTGGGCTTCCCTGTGTGGCCACGAAACGTGTGAGGGGTGTGCCATAATGGGTGCGGTGGCTCATGCGAACGCTGGCATGTGGGCCTTCGCTAGGGCTCCCTGTGGGGCCACGAAATGTGAGAGGGATGTGCCAAAATGGGTGCGGTGGCACGCATGCGAACGCTGGCATGTGGGCCGTCGGTGGGACTCCCTGTGGGGCCGCGCAACGTGTGATGGGGTGCGCCAACATAGGTGCGGTGGCCGCATGCGAACGCTGGCATGTGCGCCTTCGGTGGGGTTCCCTGTGGGGCCGCGCAACGTGTGAGGGGTGTGCCAAAATGGGTGCTGTGACCGCATGCGAACGCTGGCATGTGGGCCTTCGGTGGGGCTCCCCATGGGGCCACGAAACGTGTGAGGGGTGTACTGAGACGGGCGATGACGATGATGATAGAGATGAGAGAGGAGGAAGGAGGGGGCAGCGGGAGGAGTGAACGCGGGGACCGTCTCTTCAAAACGAGGGCCCAACACCACAGGATGGTTGGGAAAAAACACCGACGGAGGTTTTGTCAGCGCTTTTAACCTCTCGGGGCCCGTGCCAGGCCTCGGGGCCGTCAAGAGACGACTCGGGATGAAGAGCAGGTAGCGGGAAAGTGGTCCAGAGGTCGGGAGCCCGTGTTTCGAAAATATCGAGGCGCCCGATGCCTGGGATGCACCCCGGGGCGTCCCGTTCGAGGAGGCGGGGGCACTCTCGACCACGCGTAAAAGTGACGCTTCGCCGGGGTGACCTCCTCCTCCTCCTCCTCCTCCTTCTCCTCCTCCTCCTCCTCCTCCTCCTCCTCCTCCTCCTCCTGCGGGCCCATGCGAGCCTCCTGATCGCCCCAGGCCACGCCGCAGCAGCGGCTTGCGCGCTTGCGTCTGGCCCCCCCCACGCGCCCCCCACAGCCGCGCACCAAAGGTCACCCCTGCCTAGGGTTAAGTCGGGCACGTCCCTCCACAGGAGGAATATGCAAAAATAGTACAAATAGTCTGGGGACGATTTGTTCACTATGTTTGACCAGTCTGGGGTATTTATCGTTTTTTTTTTTCAAATTTTTCGTCCGACAAATCCGCCTGTAGGGGGACATGCCCGACCTAAGCCTAGGGTCAGTCTTGCGCGCATTCTCCCCTCGGGGGGCCTCCGGAGGCCCTCGCCGGGCCCCGGGACTGCCAACCGACCCCTCGGGATGAAGAGCCAGTCCCGGGGATGGGGTCCAGACCTCCAGGGATTCTCGATGCGTGTCCTTCCTCTTGCTCTTGTTTACAACAACATCAACAGCAGCAGCAGCAGCAGCAATCATTTTACGACTGTTCGCCCTTATCTGCTCGAGAGTCCAATCACGCGTATTTCCCAAACCCTCGATACCCGCCCTCTTCGTCTTCGATCGAACCCCTTTTGGGGGGTATACCTTTCTCCGCTGCAGGCCGGGCCCCGGCAAGCGGCGGGGCGGCCGCGGACCGTCGGCCTGGCCAACGGCAGCGCTGATCGGCGGGGCGGCCGCGGACCGTTGACCCGACCCCAAGAGGGACGGACAGGGG